CGTCAGTTCGTACCCGGCTTTGCCCAAGTGCCTGAATGTGATCGGCCAGCCTTCGCTCTTCTTATTGTCGTTTGTGTTGGCTCGAAGGGCGGGAAGCAAGCTTGATGAAGATCGCTTCATGGCACCGGAACCTGGGATGACCTCTTCCATTTCACGGATAGCGAGCAGCTCCAAGGGGATCGGCCGCCTGTATGCCTTGATTTCTTCGCCCTTGCCAGCCTGCTTGATTCTCACCAGAAGGACTGCGTGGTCGAACAAGAAAGCAGTGATCTCAGACGCGTCTTGCGGTGTCTTCTTCAACTGACTCTTGAATACCAACTCTCTGCCTTCCTCCGTCAATCGTAGATCCACCCTCTCGTTTGGCCGGAAGCGCAGTTGCTCATGGAGTCGCCTCAGGTTGAATCTGTTCTCGGCCTTTCCTGACTCGGCGTTGACTCTCGTCAAGAGGTCGCGAATCAACTTGAGCACCTTGGGGATGTCTTCCTTGTCAGAGCTACCGTCCTCTGTGTACTTGAGCACGTTTTCCAGCAAAAGTGGGTAACGAGCCAAACGAGTCGTCGGCTTGGTGAGGTAACCATTGAGTTCCAGCTTGCGTGACTCTTTTCGCCGTTCAATCTCATCAACAAACTTGGCAAAGTAGGGGTTGGCGGATCGTTCATTCTCAAATTCGAACTTGGCCTCCAATTGCTTGGAACCATACCAAATAAATGGCTCGAACTGAGGTACACACTCGAGGAAAATGTCGCCAATAGCACCAACAACCGGGTTCTTCTGTTGCCGCTCTGTCAACATCTTGGCGAATTTTGCGCTCACAGCATGCAAACTTGGGTGATCGACAATATTGCTGAAAATGGCCTTAACAACCTTCTCCCTCTTGTTAGCAGGAATCGGAGAAGCCTTGGAGCGCAGAGGCAAAATCCAGAAGTCGCGCAGATATTCCAAGTCCTTCACGAAATCTCTCTCGGTGTAGCAGATTTCTGAAATGACTTCCTGCCTCTTCTTCTCCCTGTCGCCGATGCTGTCGGCCACTTCCTTCGGAACGGAGTTGATCCAGAGCTTCTGTTCATCGGTTTGGTCGACATCATCTTCATTAGAGACGTTCTCAGACTCCTTCTTCAGGCCAGGCTGGATCTTCAAGTTCAGCCGAGATACCTGCTCCAGTCTGCGAGGGCACGCAATGGAGTAACAGAGCTGATCTCTTGTACAAGTCGGCGAGTAACACTCGGAAAGTAGCACAAAGACACCGTCGACCGCAGGTCTCTCTTCCGTTTCTTCCATCAGAGTTTCTCGGAATTGGTACATTTCTGACGTGGAGTCTCGCAAGCGATGTTCGTAGGTGACGTCGTGGAAGAACTTTTGGGCATCCAGAGCTCGTCCCAACAGCAGCGCCAAATTCCTGTCTGTCGTCCTAATAATGTACGACAAGACATCCACAGCTTCGGCACCACTGAAGGCGTTCTTATACGTGAGCTCGTTCTTCGTCCGGTCGCCAGTGATGATCTTTTGCCGGAAGCAGTCGGCCACTCGCGATAGCAGTGCGGGATAAACCAGGGGGGGTCGAATTTTGCCAGTTGGAGGTCGTTCACCGTCAATAGACTTGCTCATAGAAGGTCTATGCGTCAGGGTCGCGTCGCTCTCTGAAGGCGTGATCGTTGGTGCCACCGTAGACGCCATCGACATCGTCCTCTGGTTGTTCGGGTCACCGGTTATTGAAGAAGCCATGCTCATCGTTCTGGTCTGAGACCCTGGCGCTGGTGTATAGCCTCCTCCGAAACTTCCATTGGTGGCCGGCAATTCCACGGGCGCCCTTCTATTCGGAATGACCCGGCCACTCATAGTCTGGTGGGAATTCTGGTACTGGTGCATATCGCGGTCCTGCGGGTGATAGCCAGTCATTGACATGGCTCGATCGTCTTGGCGTTCTGGAACGACCCTTCCTTGTGCTGTTGTGCGAGACGAGCTCGGATTGTACGGAGCATGGCGGAAAGCATTGGCCGGGGCCTGGTGATTCGGTTGTGAGCCGTATCCATTTGAGGAAGCCTGGTACATGTTCGGTCTCGGGGCGGAAGCAAGAGACTGCGAGCGGTACGAATCGTTATTCATAGCTGGCGCCGCTCCTCCTGCTCCTTGGTAAAATCGCTGTGCTGCTGTTCTTGGTGGGCCGTACTGCCCTTGGGACGGCGGCGGCCCCCTTCCATCACGCTGGGGGATGGGCCCGGCAGGTCCTCCGTAAGGGCGGCGAGCCTGTTGTTGCTGCATGTATTGTGCTTGCGGGTTGGGCACTTGATAGCCGCCGGACGCTGAGCGTTGTTGAGCCGGGTAGCCATTTGGCTGCATAGGAGCACCTCTCGGAGAGCCCGGGTCGCGGTCCATGTACTGGCCTGGAGGCACCCTCGGGGGCGGTTGTCGCTGCATAGACGACATGGAAGATGACATTGTCTGCGTCCTTCCTCCCTGCTGTTGTGGCATCATCTGGGGAGGCATCGAAGAAGAGGTCATTGTCTGCGAACGTCCCGGCGGGGGATTGGCGCCGAAAATGTTAGAGTAGGCGGCTTCGCGCTGGTAGTTGGACGAGTGACCCCTCGGGTCGCCGCGGTAGTCGGACATGATGGGTTCGATGGAGGAAACTGGAAGTCGGCGACAATGCCCTTATCAGCTTTTGGTCGTTGGTTGGGTTAAAGGGGAGAGATGGCGAGTGTGCCAAGGTGGAGAAAAATGTGGTACAAGAGGATGGAAAGAGAGGTGTGGTGAGTGGTACTAACAACGTGAGGCCTCAACGGCCGCCGACTATGGCGAAGAGACACAGGACCACGCAAACCGCTCAAAGGGCACAATTGGCGAAGACAGAGGCAGATGTCGACGCTGCGGTCGTCAGTTTGGCGGAGAGGCGGTGGCCAGCGTGGGGGAGGATTTTTTTGGTGGTTGCTATTCGTTTCCCCTTCGTTCTAGGTGTTCTGCGTCCCCTTTCCAGGATGGGCCGGGTGACGTTATGGGCCTATGACTTGACACACGGCCCTGACCCGGGCGATTGTCGAAGGGGGGGTGAAGAAGAAAGGAAACAGGGAAGGCGACGAAAAAGAAACCGAGCCACGGCAGATCTGGCAACTTTTGTTTATGTCGAGACGATGCGAAAAGGAGCGTCGGGTAAGGTAAGGCAGCGCAGTTGTGCTTGCGGGCAGGCGATAGCAATGCTGAGTAACTTGTTGCTGGCGGCTAGGAAATGTTGCGGGCAAAAAGTCGAAGGATGGTGGTGGCCGTGGTGGTTCGTGGTGGAGGAGGTGGTGGTAGTGGTGGAAGAGGGTGCTGCTGGGTCACTGGTCGTCGTTGGTGCTAAGTCATCGGCATTGGGCTAGAACTGGGTCGGGAACTGGAGACTGGGGTTGCTTCCAGGTTGGTTGGGACAGGCGTCGAAAGCTGGGGATAGTTTGATAGGACGGCACCAAAACTGGCAGACAGCCCAAGGTCTACCGTCTGGATAGGTACGGTGGTGCATGGAAGATGGACGGGATACCGCTGGGAGGGGACCAACCACCTCTTGTTGGTGTCCAGAGCATTCACTATGTACGTACTCCGTACTCTCCAGTAAGTATTCGTCGGTGGAGGGCGCCTTACCTTAGTCAGGGTCGGGACGAGTACTTTTTTGGATGCGCCGTTTTCTCCTGCGGGAGGTGCACATGTAAGGTACCTTTTTCACTTTCTTCATCTATCTTGCCTTAGGTACGGAGTAGGTAGGTAATTCCAGGTTCTACTGGCCTGACTCTCTGCCTGCCTACTTGCTTGCCTTCGGTCATGCTACCTGACGGCGTATGCCTGTTGGACAGTGATGCATCCTGCCTGCGGGTTTCTCTCTTTTCCCTTCTTTTGCTTGGCCAGGAAAGTGCCACAAAAGGTCACGCTTACAAAGGCAACAACTGCTGTGCGATCGACTTGCGCCCATCCCTTTCCATTCGCTGTTGTTGATGCTGCTGCTGCTGCTGCTGCTACCCAGATCCATCCGGTATGGAATACATACACGCAGAGAGAGCAAGAGGCGTGCCTGGTGCACGCCAACAACTCGCGAATGTGCTAGGACAGTAGATCAATCAAACCAGTCAATGTCAAAAGAGACGGCCGACCGCCAAAAAGTGCAATCTGGACGATCCACCGAGACGCCAGCACAGGTGGACTTGGAACTTGGGAGAGACTTGGCCCGATCCACCGTCTCCCTTCCGCCCGTGAATTAGACGCAGCGCCCTGCTTCTCTGCATCTAATATTAAAAGGCGTCGATTCGCCTGGCCTGGGCATTCCTCTAACATGCGGTCTGGCGATGTCAAAATCTAAGAATAACAATGTCTGACTTGTGATAGCGCACTCTTCATTATTCAAGAACCTTTGCTAGAAACAGGGGGGCTAGACTGGAGACCGTCTTAACGCCGCGTGAGGTGGGCAGCGTGACTGCCGGAAGAAATGGAGCTTCCTCATGCAAGAACCGCACGCCAACAACGAGGCCCCCCGGCCTGTCTCTTGTTTGCAATGCGCCCATGTTTCGAGGTCAGCTTGACTTTTTTGCGGTCGGCATTCGGGGTGGCTTCGAATCAACAACGTCCCTCGAAGCTCTCCTACCCTCTTTATCCAACCGGAAGAGTCACTTCCCGTAAGTGCTAAAGAGACGCGACAAAAGGTTGATTGTATTCATCACGCCAAGGCACGTCCCGCCCCTCCCATTTGGCTGTGAGTGAAGAACGCAAAATGCGCCAAAAACATGAGATAGAGCTGTGACCTGCAGTCGAAGGGGGTGGAAGTGAAAGTTGGCCAAAAAGCCCAGGGATTCCACCCGCTGCTCGGATGATGCGCCGCGATAAGGCTAAGGTATGCATCGATAAGAGATTCCAGACCCCCGTCAGACACGGGCCACCCGGAGAACGCTGCTGCAGCCGCTGCGCCGCACTCGAGCGCGATTTCCATTCCTGCCAGCCCCGCCCAGCCACACTTCCAGTCTTCAGATGCAACACCAGCCACAATGCCGTTGAACTGGGGCTGGTGCGTCGGGCCGGTATGGCGCCGAGTCACGGGTTTCTCAGCCTGTCCACAGTGCAGTCCTGATTGGGCCTCGTCGCCGTCACCAAGCTCCAAGGTCCTGGATCCAGGAAGCCAACATCGCGGGATCCTCGACACGCATATCCCTCCCCCCTCTGTCGGCCATCAACACGCATCCCCCGCATCGAGTCCGACCACCATTCTGCCCACCATGGCTGAAGACTCTGTCCTCGCCCCCAAGTTCGCGCCGTTCATCGGAATGGTAAGCTCTCGCCCCCCGACGTTTTGCTTGCTCAAGTAGCTGTTACTCCAGCAAGCTACGGACAGCTACGGCATTTACCTTCGAGCCTGTGCTGACATGTCTTCAATCTAGGCCGGCATTGCGGCTGCCATGATTTTCGGATGTACGTTCACTCTGCAAGCATAGCTGTGCTTTTACCTGACGCGACGATAAATGGACAATGTACTAAACAGACTCTCCTCGACAGGCATCGGCGCCGCATATGGTACCGCCAAGTCAGGAATCGGTATTGCTGGTGTCGGAACTTTCAGACCCGACCTCATTATGAAGGCATGCCAATAGAATATTATACCCCGGTAGAAAAGCGTCTGCTAACACTGCAGCAGTGTCTGATTCCCGTCGTCATGTCCGGTATCATTGCTGTTTACTCTTTGGTTATCTCGGTCCTCATCGCCCAAGATTTGGTCCCTCCCGGTGCTGGAAGCAACTACAGTTTGTTCAAGTTAGTAGCAACAAAACATACAATTACAACAAAATCCTGTATGCTGACTCGAGAATAGCGGCTTCATGCACCTTGCCTGCGGTCTCTCCGTCGGCTTCACTGGCCTTGCGGCTGGTTACACGATTGGTATCGTCGGAGACAAGGGCGTGCGCTCGTACATGGAGCAATCACGCATCTTCGTCGGCATGGTCCTGATTCTTATTTTCGGCGAAGTCTTGGGTCTTTACGGGTATGTCACATGGTTATAGATGATGCCAGGTGAATAGATGCTGACCAACGTAGACTCATCGTCGCTCTTATCCTGAACACCAAGTCCAAGGGCTAAGAAGCTCCCGAATTCCCCGAATAAACCAAACGGCGATAATTTACTACAACTTAACACCACCCTTCAACGAAACAAACTGTACATTAAGCCAGGAAACCGCCGGACGTCAGGTTGAAGAAGCATCAAAAGAGAAGGTGTATGGGTGGTTTCTGGACCAAACCAGCATATGGCACGGCGTTACAACAGGACCCTCGTGTAGATTTTATGTATGACGGGCTAGAAGATGGTCTCGGGAGCTGTGGAAGGTATGATAGGCATCCGGGTTCAGTATCTTTGAATTTTTTCGAACGCAACTTGATTTCGTCATCTGTAATGAGTGGTACATGTGCCAGACCAATCTGTGGTGGAGCCGCGAGTAAGTGCATGGAACTCGGCTGTCTGGTATAGACCGAGCAGCAACGTAGCTCGGGATCATGATGAGGAGGAGGCATGAGTCCCTATTGTTCCGTCACCCCAAAGCTCCCGTGGGAAAGCCATGTGCAGTATGGTATCAACGTCGGCAACTGTCTACACTACTTCCCCAGCAGAGAAACCCTGTGCAACACAAAGCTCTCGAGGTCTAGCACAATCGACTTCGTATCGCAGCCTCAGCTTGATATCATACCGGCTCTCAGCTTATTCCCCTGGCTATGATGGTGAGCTCGACAGTGGGCTCGGCGTGTAAATGGGAATGTTGTGCAATAGTGACCGAGAGACTTTTAAAGCATCATCTCTAGCGAAAGGTCTTGCTTTAGTTATCCACTCGTGCCTTGACAGACCTTCCCAGCAAAGGCCCAAAATTTGCGACAATAACAATAGTGAGTGTTCAACAAGTAAAGCCCGTTACCAGTGTCATCGCCCGCGACTTCCTCGTCTAGCCAGAGAACACAAATCGCAGCTTACTTCTCTGGCCATTATAAACACCAAGAGCCAATACCAAAGAAGAAGATTTGACTGACCATAATAGCAAAAGAGTCCCCCCCCCCCCCCCCGGTGGCGAACGGGGGCTACATCTCTGGGTGCACATGCTGGGACTCGAACACGGGACCTCTAAGCCTTCACCGATTAGGCTGTTCGTGGACTCGAACCACTCCACCACCCAGCCAGTTTTGACCTGACCCCTCGAGGGGGGCGCCTGCTGTTTGGTGATGGGAATGGATTCTAGGGGGTATATGGAGGGTTTGAGAGTCTCTTGTTGTGTATTCTGGTGGAGGGGATGGGTTGAATATACACGAGGTACGTAACACGTGGTCGTGCTCTGAGGGGGTATGGGGGGGCCTGGACGAATGGACCGGGTGTATTCCGCGTGGTCTTGATTATTCGGTAGGAAAGCGTCGATGTATGTCCAACACGCACGTCGATGAATCGTAGCTCTTGTCGGGATCTCGCTTAGTGCTCAAGATACTCTTGAGAAGAACGGATTTTGACCCGCGTGTTCGAGCACACCGACGACCTTGAACCATCTTTCTTATACGTTACCGCCGAGTGAATGACCGCTGTCGCGTTGTAGGCTTCGATATATCCTCGTAGACCTCGTCGACGATCAGGAGGCGCTTACTCATGTTCCGCTCGTCAGACTTGCAAAAGCGACGAGGTCTTGTAAAGCTGACAGGTTTGGGAGGGTTTCCTTCTTTTATTCACACCAAGAATCGCGATTGGAGTGATGGTACCTAGACAGCATTTATGCGTTCTTGGAAAGACTTGAGTATCAACATCTCACAACTTTCCTCCACCTCCTGTATAGAACCAACTAGTGCCACTTATTAACTTGGACGGCTTCACTGTCCCGACGAAGTGGCAAAGTTCTCAACTCGGGCTGTGAGTAAATCAGAGATCCAGTTGCCCCTTGCCGGACAATCAGAATACAGCGTGGGATTGAGAGCTGGTTCCAGGAGATTTGACCGCGGGGAATAGAAGCAAGCCGGCTCAAGAGACATTGTGTTAAGCCACATGTATATCTTTCGGACTTAAAATAGTGACCATGACGCGGGGCACAAAATTCAACCGTCTTCTCGCAAGAACGGCCTTTTACCAACCCTTAGATAGTGTATCCTCCAAACATGAGCGCTTCATTTGTCTTATGGAAACAAAACTAGGCTCGTGTGAGAATCATCGCGAGGGAAGCGAGACCGGATGACTGTTTTCACCTGGTAATCAAAGTCAAGAGACAAACCGTCACAAAGGAGTACCAAGTCATCTGTAGCACGGTTCCAGACGTAGATGAAATATCTTCTTCAATTTGGTTCCGTGTATCCTGAATGTCAGGAATCTAGGCCGAAATGTTCCTACTGTCCATTTGTAGAAAATCAATAAAGCTAAGGTAGGCAGCATGTCTTCGGCCTTCCCGAATCCTTCCTTAGAATGCATCTGAAATCTGGGTTCGATGCCGAAAATTGTTGAAAATCTACCCTACGATGCCCGGATCAAGACCGTAGGCAAGACGAATGTCGTGAAAGAAAGAAAACAAGGCTCAAATGCCTTGGCCTGTACCCAAAACCAAAACAGAAAATGCCTGAGTGGAAATCATCTCCTTTCTAGGAGGAATCATCGGCTTCCCTATGCTCTATGCAGAGACGCCGATGGATGAATGATAAGAGAGAGAGAGAGCAAAAAACGACAGACTCCTTTTTCCAGATACATGACAAACCCTTGGTTTTTCAGTCGTGTCATATGCGCATCAAAATCGTGGTCGCGTCAAGCGGTCTACCAAAGACGCCCTGCAAGGCGGCGGGTCAGCTTCTTGCGCTGTGCTGGCGGAGGCTGACGCAGATTTCTCCAACTACTGCGATCGCGGTCCTCCCAAGTTTGCATTTGCGCTGCCGGAATGTTAGCGAGCCATGTTTACACTCTGAAAGAAACAGATAGTGAGAAAAGACCAAGACTTACCGAGAAAGCGGTTCCAACGGCGATCCTCGTCCCAGAGAATATCCTCACCAGACTCGCGTGCAAGTCTCTCCCTGCGAGCACTTGCAGCGGCCTCCTCGCCGACCAAGTAAGGGTCCTCGAGCGGTCGGGAGTCCCGAGCTCGCTGGGCCGCCTCCTCCTCGGCCATTCGCTCAGACATAAAGCGACGGAGGTGGGCAACGGGATCGGCACCTTGGTTCATGCGTCTTCGGGCGACGTTATTCAGCGTCGGATTTGTGTGCACCGTTGACCACGTGGGAATGCGGAACTGATCGAGTCGTGGGGCTGCGCTGGGCGGCGCCGGAGGAATCGGGGGCAGGCCGGTGGTTCGGTGGGGTTGGGGCGTCGAGTTCCCGGAACGGCTCGGGGCCGGGACGGCAGGAAGCAGGGACGTTGGGTGTTGAGTGGAGCCAGCGGCCGTGCGGTTCACATTGTTGTTGTTGATAGGCGGGGAGTAAGGAGGAATAGGCTCGGGATGCGGAGCGATCGAGTGGTAAGAGGGCGCGTCTGAGACTATTGTTTGGTGTTAGCTCGACCACTTCCATTTCGAGGTATACTGCGACATGTCTTTGTCGGTGAAGCTCGAGCATGTCAGGCGCCGGCATGGCGTCCCGTGCGAAAGCAAAGAAGCCATCCCAACGTCCCACATAAGGCTGGCTCGTGACAAGAGTCAACTTACAATAAGACGGCGCGGCAGAGCGGATCGAAGCTGTTTCGAAATCATCGTGGCTCAGCGCATCATGATGCGAAGGAAAGAAACGCGGGTGTTCAGCTACGGCAGCGGCCATTTTGTCGCAAGTCTTCTTGGTGAAATAGAGCGTAAAACGGTGGGCAAAACTTCCAGAGTTCAAGAGTAACCGGTCGAAGGTAAAGTGCGGAGAGTGGAAGGATAAATGTTGACCATCTGGTTGCGGAGGGAGATCCGGGCCTTTCAGAAATAACTGCGCAAGCGCAGCTCGAGGATCAACGTAGCAGGCAGGTCAAGCGAAGATCTCTGGCCAGGGTGTATTGCTGTGCGACTCTAACTTGCGCAGAGGAAGATGGCCAGAATCCTGAGCAGGTTGGGAAACGAGCGTGTAGGATGTGTATGACGGTTTCCGAGACCCAAGTTCTAAGACAAGTAGGTCAGGGGAGAGGAATAATAAGCCGGTCACGCTCGAAGCGAGAGAGACAAGGTGGACGCCGCCTACGGATAAAGCAGCCCAGCGATGGCTGCAGTCCAGTCCGAGCCGGCGGGAACTGGGATGCCTCTGCCCGAAAGGTGGGTGCCCTTGGTGCGTAGTTTGCGTGATGGAGGGTGGGTGTGTGGAAGGTTGGAGCTTGGCGCAGCGGTAGCGTAGTTGTGAGCCTCTCGTGCGAATGTATCTTTGTGTATCCTTAGACTGCAGTGGCCTCAAGGGTCGAGAACTGCTACCCTGTGCTCCAGATTGGATGAGGGAGGTGGTGCAGGACACGTGAGTAAGGGACTAGAACGATAACAGAAGCCCAGCCGGAAGCAGGGTACAGGACGGCTTCTCTACTGTGCAGTATTGTGGTGTTGAGTCCAGGCAAGGGAAGGCAGGACGATGCAGGTCAGATGTATCGTTTTCCCTTTTGAGATGCAGAGGGATGGGTGAGGGGTCGAGGCAACAGGAAGGGAACGAGCAGATGAGGATGGATGGCATGCAGGTCGGGTTGGGCGTGGATGGTCCCCTTATACTAGATCAGGATAGGTAGGTACAAAACAAATTCAAGAGGAAATAGGCCCGGCGCGGTGTTTTCTCACATACTTAGATTAGTTGATAGATGAAGACGATGGGGACTCTCTTACGTCGTGGAGGGGCTGAGAATAAACAACGACCAGGGCAAGAGAACGGAGAAGAGAATGGATGGAAACAGCAACGACATCAGCCATGGCCTGAACGAGCTGGAGAGACCGGAGGGAAAGTGGCTCCCCGAGGCGTCGTGTTCCTGGCGCAAACGTGCCGTCGCCCAGCATTGGCTGACGACGATGGGGCATCTGTCAGCTTAGCCAGGAAAGCACCCCATTTGGGACTCTGGGGGCGTGGGCAGAGTGGAGGAATACATGGATATTGAGCGGCGTATTGGGGGGGCTATGGCCAGGAATAGGATTCCGATATGGTTCAAGCCGGCACAAGCTGGGCCAAAGTGGGAGGGAACGACAGGTACGGTGCATAAGCCATCATCAGTACAACGCCTCCGGCCTGTCACTGAAGGGAAAAGACCGAGTTTCTGGGATGGCTAGGAGGGAACCGGCAAAGAAGCCGTAGACATGGGCATTGATTGCCCCGAGGTCTAAGTGGAGGCATATGCTGGAGATGATAGACGAATACCCGCTTCAGGAGGCTTGAAGGATATGAATTTTAGAGAGAGGGAATTATTTTCAAGTGGAATTCAGACGATTCTGACAAGTACCGACTAACAGGATTGGATATTCTCGGCCTGCGGCAGTGATATGGAGTGAATAGAAAGAAGTGAGAAGAGAGAAGGCGTCAGTAAACGCGGGGTTAATGACAGAAGGTCCACTTGAACCTTCCACTTCCATGTTCGTCTGGTTGTTTGACTGCGGGTGGCATGGGGCCGGTTTACAGTCTGGCGGAAGCAAGCACAGCCCAGTCCAGGTCAGGTCCAGCCCAACGCCGTCTTTCCCGTTCTCTCAAAGCCTCAAAGCCGTGGGAAAGTGCTCTAGTTCGTTCCATCTCCACCGGTTGCCGACGTCCCCCGAGACCGCCGAGAGGGGTAGCTCATACCTGTCGTCGTGAGTTGCTGTGTTGTCTTTCTTTGGGGGTTGATTTCTAGCTTTACGCACGGCTGCGTTGGCTGGCAACATGGCCCGTGGGAATAAGACGATGGAAACCTACTGCCACGGTACTTGAGTACGGATGTTTTGTTTCCTTCTTCGCGTTGCGGTTCTTCCCAGCCAGTCGATGGATTGCGAGGTGCTTTTGGAAGTCTTGGCGGGGAAACACCGGTCTGCGGAGAGACTCCAAATTTGTGGAGACAAGTCGATGTGCCTTCCATTTGTATTCCAGAGTACTCGGTACGTACCTTACTCTGATGTCTCTCTGTAATCGACAGGAAGGAGGAGAGATAGCGGTTGCGGTTGCAACTTCGGGTTAGTTCACCACGCCAGCCATCTGGGAACAGGACAGGCATCGTCCCTACAATGAGACCATAGTAGCTTCACAATAATGGGAATATTCCAAAGGGAAGAAAAGATGGAGCCAGCAACACCAGTCAACAGCAAATAACTTACAACTTATAGCCAAGACAGAGCGGGAAGAGGCCGAATATGGGGCTCTCTACACAGTATGTACATGGTAATCTAAATCATGCTTCAGGAACCAAACCTTGCCATCCCGCCATCACACCTTGACAGCATTCGAGGATGTGATGAGACGACGGCAGAATGAGGTGCTCCGCGCAGTAGCCAGCTTGCCCAGCCATCGGGACGACACGGATCCCCCGCCGCTACCCCACCAAGGCGCCAACTCGAGCCAAATCCCCGATCTGAAAGGGCACAAGAAAGAAACCCATCCACGGATTCCGCTATCCAGAGACGGACAACAGGATCCCTCGGCCCCCAATGTCCAACATCACTCTGTCTCTCCAGCCCCGAACGTGGTTAGGTTACGCAAACCAGCCCGTGTCAACGGCCCAGAACCTGTAGACAGTATTCATGTGTGGGAGGTTGCGAGACAACCAAAACCTCAACATGTTGCTAACTGGGGCTACGTGTAGCCCGCCTATCCACTATGACGACCAGGCCACCCAGCAGCCCTACAGTTGTTATCCAAAACCTGCTTGCAACCTACCTTCTACGAATACTCTGTACGAAGTACGGATACATCTCCTTGCACACGCTTTGTTCACTGGCCATTCTCCTCACTTCTCATCTCGGCTTACCTTGCGGAAATAATGTTTCTTGTTGCCGTTTCGGTCCGTTCTAAGGGTGACGACCGCACGCTATGTGCTTCGACTTGATCCTGACGACTGGGTAACTATATGATGCTGTCGTGCAGGACCAAGTGGACATTTCGCGGGGAGCATGAGAAGGCTTAGACTTCTCGTGGTCGACCTTGACGACTATGGAGTCCTTCCAGTCGCCGCAATGCTATACCTATGCCTATTTTGTATACAGGAGACATGTGAAGCTGTACTTTCGAGTCCAAACCGGTCGACGAATCAAAGCCTGGACACTCCACCACCGCAGCCACACCTACACAGTACGGTAAGTGTTTCACTTGATGGTACATCGACAACACCGCCAGATGCAACCCCAATCCAGGTTTCTGAGAGATAGTGGCTTGAACACGGGTCTGGACGTGTGGCACATGAGCACACGACACAAGACACTCTCACGCGACCACTCTTTGATCCTTATCAGAATCACCTTGCAAGGAGAGGCAGAGAAAAAGGGTCTGGAGCCGCCCAGCATGCTAGCATGTGCATGCACCAACGGAGCGGTTTCTCCAACTGATCGTCGCTTTCCTCTGAATGCTGCAAGAGGGTGTGTGAGGTAAACGGTAATGGCCAAGTTTACCTACGCCCTGAGGGCCCAAGAGGGGGAAACGAAACCACCAGATCGACGTTGCCGCTGCGCAAGCTGCCAAGAACCATAAACCGCCGGGGCTATCAAACTCAGAAGTCTCTGGGAGGGTGTCGCATTAGCACCGCATTTCAACTACCTACTTCGAGTTTCCATTTTCATTTCTACGTAGTAAATCCAGATTGAGTCGGATTCGCGCGGCCCGCGAAACGATCGTCATAAACAAACGTTCTATCAAACCACCTCTGACATTCCCATTAATCTTAGAGCCTGGGCATAAGGCAAGAATGGGTCCGGTTCACGATAATGTCAGTATGCCGTCAGCAATCCCATGTCTCTACGAAAGCAAAGGAACTCGGCACGGGATCGGCCCCGGATCCTCTCAATTCCCATAGAATCGTGGGACCATTACAATAAACCCTGGGGGTTTGTACTAATCTTTGCGCAGACTTGCCTACACCAGGCCACGTAATATGGCGCTCGCTTGAAGAGTGCTCAAGTCTTGGGTTCAGCCAAGGCATGGGCCGCGTACCGTTTATCTTGGCTTTTTCGAACAACTCATCACTTGACGACTGTTAGTTACCTTAAGTAGCTTGTCCATGTCAACCATCAGTTGAGTTTAGTCGTCTGATTTCCCGCGAAAACTCAAACCCTTCCGCTGGGTCGACATCGGATTAAAAGGGGCATCTGCCCAAGCTGGCCGGTCGACGCGAAGGAATTATTGAGGTATTGATCGTAATGGCAGTTCAATTATTGCTCGTCGCACCAGGAATGTACTCATGATGCATATACAGCCGCATCATTGCATTGGCCGCGCGTGATTGCTATTTCTTTCCCGCCTTCCAGGTCGTTCAGTAAGCGTGACGAAGTTGCCAGGACGGCCCAAAGTGCTTGCTTTCCTGGATTTACATTACGATGACTGAAGTTTATCTGCGCAAGTTGCTAATTTGAGAGATTGTCGGCCCAAGGCATGCATACATTGCTGTATTAGACGGCGGCAACGGCGGTACCCCCTCCAAATCCCAAGTGCAGCCGTTTTCCAGGAATTCTCACGCTAGGTACCTGAGGAATGTCTAGCAGTAGCATCATCTAGTCATCCTTCTTCCCGACCGTGCCACCCTTTCGAAGCCCTCCGACCACAATAAAGAGCACCGCAACCGTGGCGGCAAAGATAGTCCAGAATGCCGCGCGGTAACCTTCCATGCGCGCCTCCCGGGCATCGTCATGAACGACAGCCGA